TTTCCTCTAAAATAATGTGTGATTGACCAAATTCTACCTCTCTCCTGCAGGGAACAGTTCCCAGATGAATTAGTTGCTGTCTGCATTCATTAAGCTCAGTATCGGTCTATTTATTCACCTATGTGCACCTACTGACTAATTAACAAGGGATCAATAAGGACCCTGAATGCCCCTCACGTAGGGGCGATGCGCGCAGCTCCCTCATTATTGGCACTGCACTGAGGCTTCAAGGAGGATTTCTCAGGCTCTACCCGAGGGGTCGGATGACGCATTAGGCTGCATAGGTTCGGCAAAAGTTGGTGTTTCTGGTTCTCTGCTCTGACTATGCAAAAAACACCACAGGCTGGAGAAAACAAAGACAAGCTATTTAAAGACACTCCCCCAGAGATTTAGCATGACTGGAAGGATCTGTGACAGTACAAATTGAACCATAATGTTTCTGAATTGCTAACATGGTGTAGCTCTATCTGACTCATGACTGTACAGCCAAGCTACAGCCAGCACCAGTTATTTTAGCTTAGCATAAAGACTGAAAGCAGCTAACATGGCTCAAGGGTATGAAAACCTTCCTACCAGTACAGTACCTCTAAAGCTCAATAAATACACTATATTTCTTTTGTTTGATTAGTATAAATACACAAGTGTAAAACTAACATTTTGCTGTGGTCAGATGGTTACTCCAATTACTTTGCCTAGCCAGGCTATAATCTGACAAATAGGTTACTACCCAGTAAAACCATGTGTCATGTTTACACAGTTTTTGTATGGGTGAATGAAACATATTAGTGAGCTTGACAGTTAGTTGTTACCTTTGGACAGAGCCAGGTTAGCTCTCTCTGCATTTCCAGATTTTTCTTAAGCTAAGCTAATATAACCAGCTAGTGGCAGTAGCTTCATATTTACGGTGCAGACAGGAGAGCGGTATTAGTACTCTCATCTAACAGTTGGCAAGACATCACATAGGCTCTTTCCCAAAATGCAAACTATCCCTTTAATCTCATACAGGTATACAGCCCTATTATACTGACAAACACTAAACTAAACAAATAAAAGTCAGATGGGGATGACTGGCAGGCTGTGACCTGCAGTGAGCATGTAAATCCTAAATCCCGACTGACTGCAAAAAATATAGAATAAAGCACAAGCATTTGATGAAGAGTAAAATTTGTTAATTATCACATCATTATTTCCACAACGTTGGTGGACTTGATTCTGGCTCAACAGAGTACAGGGTGTACCCAGTAATTTCAGTGTAATAAGCCCCACAGTGTAGCTGAATACCAAACTGAGGGATGACCTCTGCAAGTTGCCATGACACCAGTCGCTACTCAGATTTGGCTGCTTCCAACAGTCAGCATGGAGCCGCAGCAGCAGCACATAGACACTGTCATGCACGTGCTTGCATGATCTTGTACCCTGACACATGCACACACTGGTAATGTGGTCAGAATGATATCTCAAGGACTCTCATCTCCATCCTGTGCTGGTTCTAGGAAGCAGGCCAGGTTTTGGGGTGCAGCTGAGCAACCACTCAAGTCAGCTGAATGGGAGACAGCAGCTGTATTCTTGCTCACCTGCAAACAGCACACACACTGTGATCTGGCTTCAGAGACCTGGGTAATCCCTGCCACAGTAAGAGGTCTAAACTTGTGAGTTCACAAATGTTTTACATGGCTACAAGAAATACAACAAACTGAACTTGTTAATGCACCTTTACCCTGCAAGAAAAGGATGAGAGAAACATGTGGCACAGGCAGTAGTTAGGAAGCAGCAGGTAGCTGTGAGGCCTTACACAGGGTCAAATACTGTTTCTGTCCCAACAACAGCAGATCAGTTAAAAAGCTCTGACCTCAACTGTCAGCCAATTGAACTCAATGTTCAAGTCCCCTCTCACCGTGGAAACAAGAAGTAGATAATGTAATCTACAGAAGTGCATAAGCTCATCAGCCAACAGCTCAGTCACGTGGACACATTGTTTTGCATGAGCACTTTAGGGTTAACTTGGGCAGACAGACCCTTTTATTGATTGAAATCATGTCACACAAAGCTGTTACCCATGACTTTTACCACAGTGAGGAATCAGAAAAGTTCACTGTATGTTCAGGGAATACTTTTATGCCTCCTCTATGCAATAGTGAAATGTTTGAACCCTAAAATTTCTCTTTTGCAGGCTCAGTCACATCATTTCCCTGTTAAAAAAAAGCTGATTTCACCTTGTAAAACCTACATGATTACAGCATTTTGTTCTTTGAAGAAAACAGACATAAGGATATTTCACCCAATCCTGAAAAAATATATTAAAAAAATAACAGCCAAGTAGGTGAAAGAAATGTATGTAATACTAAAGCGACTATAAATACACAAGCAAAATTGTCAGCAGCTAATCATGCCTGATTTATGCCAGGATGGTGGTGATGAGATTATTTTGCTCTCCTTCTAAATGTGGCCCTCTGGCACTCTCACCTCTTCTTTGGTGATAACAGGTCAACCTATCGAAGGAGGGGGAAGTGTGAAGCCTTGGGCCTAGTTTTAGCATGAACAAATGTCCTTAATTTTTCCCTGTGATTCATGGATTATAGATATTTCTAGATGCCCCTCCAAAAAACGAATCATACAAAACATCACTTTATAAATATTTTCCTGTATTGCAAGGATATTGCCTGTTGCAGATTCAAATGATGGAAATGCATGTTTATTTATTCTCAAATTCAACCTTAAAATTTTTCTTTCTCCCTGTAAATGGGAAGCAATACCTCAGACAAGATAAATACCTAGTTTGGGTTTAATTATCTACAGTACAAAATTGTAAAAGCAATCCCCATCATCAGGATCTTATGTATCACTGCTTATAATGAACTCGACATTAGGTACACTGCAGGTAGAATTCAGTCAGATTAAATGGCTCCTACAAGTCCAAAATATCAATTCGTCAGGGACTTGGGAAGAAAGGAGTCAAAGAACTTACTTGATAAAAAAGGAGTGAGCTCCTCTGGCTGCAGTTAACAAATATAAATATCCAAACCTGCAAGGGTTTCAACATGAAAGCAGTATACTATGAAAAGAACTCTTTGTAAGTGTGTCACTTTCAAGTCAGGTCAGTTTTTATTTGTATAACCCAAAGAGTCACAAATTTGCATCGTGGGGCTTTACAATCTGTACAGCATACAGCACACCTGAATTAGGCAAGGAAAACCCCCTAAAAACCTTTTAACGGGGGGGGCTCAGGGAGAGCAACAGAAGAGGGATCACTCTTAGACAGCAATAGATGTGTATACAGAATAAATCAACAGTACTGCCAATTGGAATGACAACAATTACATATTGTAAAGACAGGCTATAAGGATCATACCATATAAACATGTATGAGGAACATGATCCCGGAGGACCAGCCAACATCCAGGAGCTTCCAAAAGACCAGAACCACATGACCTCTCCTCTAGACAAAAACCTGGTAGGAGAAGGAGGGGAGGAGAAACAGACACACATCAGAGACAGAGAAATGACAACCGGAAATGAACATGTGAACGTGGACACAATGAGGGGGAGAGGGACAAATAAGAGGATCCGGATCCAGACATCTGGACAGCTACTGACAGCCAGAGGGGAGAGAGAGATCCCAGGAGTGATGGTCCAGCACAGAGAACCTGCATGAGGACAGAGAAAAGGGGGTGGGCACACTGCTTGGATGCTTGTGCTCAAGGGAATAAACTGAGGGTTAGAGAGATGCTGGAGTTTTCAAAGCACATTTAAATCTTAAAGCGCATTTAAAATCTGTGGGGATGCAGACACTGAGATTGGGAATGACTTTGCTCCATGCTCACACCTAGAACTTTATCTGGCCTTTGCTAATCTTCCATAAAGAAACCACCATGGAAAAGTGATCCTGTTTGGCATAATTCACCCTGGAGCCAAAGTCAGAATAACACCTTCAACACTTGAGGAGTGAATGACACAGGTCTTTGAGGCCAGCAGCTAGCTAGTGGGCTATGTTTAAACACGCCATATGACATCATGAGAGACTGTCGCCGGCTCTAATTAGAGAGTTTTAATTCTTGTCTTTAATTCTTAAACTGGGCAATTTTAGACAATATACATCCATGTCACTGAGGACTCTATAAGCTTCTCTAAATCACAGCAGGGGCTATGGGCATCTAATTACATTTCCTCTTCACATCTCCAAACACAGCATCACTTGTGACCTTATCTCTGTGCCTGTCAGAGTGTTAGCATTCACATGCCAAGTGTGTCGATGAATGTAATTACTGGAGCCCAAAAATAATAACAACACTGTCTTTGAGCAGCTGGCGGCCAATCAATTGTAATAGGACGCCCCTCCAACCCCTCCACCTTCTCCTTCAAATTAGTGGAGATAAGGACAAAAATAAAGTTGTTATAGTCCTGAATCTGAAACACATACAGAATGCATTACAGAGGAGGGGGGTATTAATACTAACTCAGTGAAAACACTTATAGTAATCCTATTATAAAGGTTATCACATCTTCAGAACATCTCTTAACTCTTTAATCATAAGTGGTCAAGTAGAAAGGCCCTGAAAATGCATAACTTTTTATGTTTATTTAGTTGTTGTGTTTGTTAATGTGTTCCTTGTATTAATCCGATTGTGTAAAGCAAATACATGTAGTAAAAGATAGAATATTTGCCTCTAAAATGCAATGAAGTCGAAATATGATGTAGCAGAAAATGAAAATACTCAAGTAATGTACATAGGCTATAGCTCTAAATTGCACTTAAGTACAGAACTTGAGTAAATGTTCTTTCCACCACTGGGAACTGTTTAATGGAGTACAGTTCAACGGCAGAACAGTAATTTGGCGTTTTGTTTATATAAATTTAGCATAGTGTCTTGAAACATGTTTGGAAGACAATAAATCACAAGAAAAATCCCCACAAAGAAATGGGGCAATGTCGCCCCCCGGTGTCTAAAGGTGGAACTACACCCACGCTCCCTGTGACCCGGAAGCACTTTGGTGTGTTTTTCTATTTTGCACGTGGAGGAGGAGTGAACATCGAGTAGCACTGACCAACATGTCTGGGTGTAGCGTGGAAGAGCTGCTAGCGAAAGCTGAGAAAGAAGAGGCAGAAAAACTGAAAAGTATTACCGTCCACAAAGAGCTGGACCTGGAGTTTGACATCGGCAACCTGCTGGCGTGTGATAAAAACCGGATCGATTCCAGGGACTTAAGGGGACAGAAGAAAGATGCCTTCCTGAGGTCTTTAGCTCGTGATAACACACAGCTTCTCATCAACGAGATCTGGAAACAGCCCACGGAGAGGGTCGAGGAGGCGATATTGGTCAAGTTACCCGACCCGACGACCCTGCTGTGCAGAGAGAAGCCGATTCCGAAGCCCAGACCTCCGACAAAATGGGAGCAGTTCGCCAAACTGAAGGGAATACAGAAGAAGAAAAAGACCAATTTGGTTTGGGATGAAACTGCTAAGGAGTGGAGGAGGCGTTGGGGATACAAGCGGGCCAAAGACGACACCAAAGAGTGGCTGATTGAGGTCCCGGAGACCGCAGACCCAAATGAGGACCAGTTCACCAAACGCGTCAAAGCCAAGAAGGAGAGGGTGGCCAAGAACGAGCTGAACAGGCTGAAGAACATTGCTAGGGCACAGAAAGTCAAAACCCCAGGTGTGGGGCTGACTCCCAAATCCCAGCAGTCCAAGGACGAGCTGGCCAGGGCGGTGAGTGTGGCCAGAACCTCCACAGCATCCGCGGGCAGGTTCCAGGACCAGCTGCCTAAAGAGAAACCACCAAAGAACACAGGCAAGAAGAGGAAGTTTGAGCCTCTCATCGGCGACTTTTCGCGGGAGAAGCAGAATCATCTGGAGCTTCTGAAGATCATGGACAGCAAGAAGCCCAAGCTGGACATCACCAGGGCTGTGAATAAACAGATGAGAGAGGAGGACAGGGAGGAGGCCGCAGCTAAGAACAAGAAGGGAGCAGGGAGGAAAGGACGCAAAGGCAGCATGGAAAGGGCAAAGGGAGGGGTGGTAAGGGAAAAGCAGGTAAAGCTGGAGGAGGGAAGAAGAGGCCCAAAACTGGGAAGCGCTGACACTGTCTGTGTCTTGGTATCAAAGCATTGGACTGGACATTCATGAAGCATGAAACGAAATGTTTGATTCACCTGTAAAGATGTGCGATGCTGTGACTGTCCAGGATCTTTGTGCACATTAGCTTTGCTGTAAACTGGTCCTGGATTTATGGAAGCAAATTAACTTCAGTATGTTAAAAACTTTGATCAGTACACTTTAATATTGCAGCCCAAAATAAATCTGACTGTGCTTTGTTTCCTCTGCAACTGAATGTAGAATTGATCAAATATTCAGGGCTAAATAAAGATAAATAGTTTTGACTTAACACAACAGACATGACAGGAAATTGTTTCCAAAACCTTAACACAAAAGTTATGTTTTGTTTTCTGTTGTTCCTGCTGTTTCACTGACTAATGTAATTTTTGACACATTTTGCATTGCATTATGGGAAAAAATACGTACATCAATAGTACTCTACTCCACTGCCATTTTGTAGTAGAAATCATACTGAGTGTTTTTATATTTGGTCAGTTTTCTAGTGAGAACACAACAGTTTGTGTGGATTTTGAGACTGAGCTGTCTGAGAAGGTTAACACAAAAATCTGTAAATCTAATTAGATTTTAAATTGCATATAGAATGCAGAATGATAATTACTGTGTCAATTTGTTTATTGAATTTTAATTGCAGGGTATACAATAATAAAAATGTCTTCAAAGACTGTACAAGTAGCAGTGAGTTAAAAAAAAAAATGCAACACAGAGAAGTCTTCCCCAAAAAGGAAGCTCATCTGAAGGTATTTTCAGTTTCATTTAAGACACAGTTAGACATGTCCGTCACTTGTTAGTTTACTGTAATCCTCAGTAAACAGTTTGCAGTAGTGTAGACAGGATGAATCGATTTTGACACTGTTGTAGTAGGAAAAGCACAGGTGTTACCAGTTCCATCAGCGAGTTGAGTCGAGTACAACAGGTGGCTACGTGGAATTCAGCCGTTAATGTTATTGCTTACACCTGTGTCAAAATGTTTTCAGTAAAAAAATATGTATAGGTACGTCAGAGTGATGAGCATGAATCTGTGCTGTATTCTGTGGTCTGAGTGGGATAAAAGACAAGACTTAGCCTCTCGGTTTGGGCCTTGGAAACTTGTTATGCCATTATGTACGGCGAGCAAACACAAACTGGGACTGGAGCGCCTCAATACAACACCAAAGTGTCTTCTTTTTGTGCATGGATCAAATGGTACCATTAAATTATAAGCCTGACCAATGAAGGTAGTTCATCACATTGCTGCAAAACTGTGTTAAATCCAATATTGCTATAAACAGTCTTGCTCAATTATTTGCCCACTTTGATATAACAGAGATGTTTAAGGGATACATACCTCTGACGGATTCATATTGATCAATGTGTTATTTTCATGTCTATGAAAAACTTTAATTTGTATTAAATCAGGGTTTTTAAATGAAAATGATAACAATCCTCTGACACAAGCTCAAGCCAGTGAAGGAACACTAGTGGCACATTACATATACTATTAATGGAGTTTGGAGCTAATGCAATCGAATGTTTCCATTTTATCACCTGTATCTCTGATGACGTCCAATGATGTGATATAACATTTGTTATATCTCATGTCATTTCTAAACATGGAGCAGCTCTGTGTTTGTGTCCCTTCTTCTTTCTAGAAGTAAACATCAGATTGAGTTTCTAAGCAGCTTATCTGTGGTTTTTGATTATGTAAATGCTTTGCTTTGGCCTTGGTGTCTACAGTGGTGGCATCACACTGAATTAGGAGCAGTGAGAAGTGGAACAGATAGCTCTCACAGCCAGAATTTGCACTTTTGGGTGGGTTTTCTGTTATTCTATCAGCTTATTACTCTATAACTGATGGTGCTTTGGTCGCTACAGGTTTATATTTTCATGTAGTAGCAGAGGGGGTGCAGTCCAATTAGGATTGCTAAAGCTACATATAAGATTAATTAGTTGTCTTATCTATTGTGTTTCCTCATTGAGACAAACATACATCTTGCTCAGTTCACCAAGCTAATTCATGTCCTTCCCAACAGGAGTCAAACCCTATTTCCTGTTAATGTTTCTAATTATTTAGAAAACTAAAACATACATCTCTTTCTATTTAGATATGCCATAGAAAATAAAGAAATAAATAGAAATGAAATGTCCAGTGCCGTTTTATATTATTGATGGATGCTTTTTGATTCCTGACAAGCTCCAAGCCAAGCGTCACTGCACTGTAGCAGTGGAGGGGGTTTCGATCGCCATCTGTTGAGCCGTCCCCAGCCCATTCATCCAGGCCACTGCAAAATGAGACACAGCCAATAAAACTAAATCAATCATCTCTGTTGATGAGGTGAAATTATGAATTCTCATCCACGGCAGGCGGGAAGTGGCAATAACGCCTAAACTTGTCTCGCATGCATGTTGTTTTGTGCAAGTGTGACCAGATGGCAAAAGAACAATATGGAACTGGTACAAAGAGAAGATGGCCAAGCATGAGCTTTCAGATGAAGTCTGTTTTTTATTCCATTGCTGAGCTAAATAAAAAAAAGTGAAAATAAATGTCTGCTGATATTTATCCCTGCCATCTAGGAAGAACACACCTAATGGTCTAAAGATCATCTTGTATTCTGCTGGGGCATGCTTGTGTGTGTTGTACCCTGTAAGAATGTGTGGTTGTGGCTCCAGCCAGTGCTGCAGTGGATTAGTCAGCTGCATTTATTTAAAGGTGGTGCAGAGAGAGTACAGGAGCCTCGGTCAGTGTGCAGGTGCCAGATCTTCAAGATGCAGCGCATTTACATACACAGCCATGAACACTTTGAAGTCTTCACCACTGTCCTTGCACCACAAGGTGAGTGGAATCATATCTGCAGTGAAGTGTGGCTTAGCATGATGTTATTTGTATTGTTCGTGAAAGCAAGATGGCACATTAATATCAGCTGATTATGCTGTTCCTCCTTAAGCAGTGTTTATTTTCTGAAAGACATGGGTGTGCTGATATGTTTTACATTTATGTAAAGATGTTCTGCACATTTGCAGGTTTGACAAATAATAAAACTAACCTTTGTGCTGATTCATCTCCACTTTCAATGATTAACAGGGAGGTATCGATACAGAGCAAAAGCTGAAAAGGCAAGTTAAACCTTCTTTTTGACATAAAAATCCATCAGCTATGCATTGATAGAAAGCTGCATCCTGGGCTGTGTGTTGTCAGTTGTATGCAATTCAATGTTAACAACTGTGTTTATGAGGCTAAAAATTTGTCGGTTTTTGGTGAAATTGTCCTGAATATATAGTTGAATAATAAGATACATATATAATACCTATGATTAAATTGATAAATTTATGACAATTTCACCAAAAACTGACATTTTTTAGCCTCATAAACACAGTTGTTAAGGCAAAAGTGTTGCACTGAATTGCATACAATTGTACAGGTGTACCTAATAAAGCGGCTGGTGAGTGTATTTTACTGCACAGCAGTTAATCTCTGAGTCTTATCACACAATCCTTTCCATTCACTGAGTCTGACTTGTAGACTACAAAGACCTGGACACTAACAGGTTTCATCATTATAACAAACAGCAATGCAACAAACCACATCTAATTTAAATGAAATATTAAAGTTGAAACAGCATCTTGAAACTGTGCAGAGTAAAAATGGCTGCAACTCTCTCTGTGTCCATTAGATGGTAGTGGTGCACAGCTACAGGCCCCACTGGCCAGATGAACTGGAGCTGTCTCCAGGTGACGCCATCCTGGTGCTGTCCAAACATGAGGAGGAGAGATGGTTTGGGCAGCTGCAGGACGGCCAGCAGGGCTACTTCCCCGCCTCCTGCGTGATGGAGCTGAGCCAGGTTGGTTGGCTGCCCGAATGTGCTCAGCAATGCAGTACGGCCGAGCTGTGCTGTCGCCACCTTTTAATTTCTGAAGGCATTTCTATTCTATTTTGTGTTGTTCTTCCACATCAGTGTAATTTTCAAAGGCCCTGTAAACTGATTTTCTCATTCAGCTTCTTAAATTCTTCTGAAATAGTATAAATAAATTTAGATTTGTATGCTCCACAGATGAAATAACTTAAAGCAAACACTTTCAACTGTTTACTGTTACTCAAAGTGGAAAAGGATGAGAGCTATTTTTAACTCAAACACATTTTTTCCCCACCGCCAGGCTAATCTGCCTCCCAAAGCCCTACGAAGAAGTTTAACTCTGAGAACCTCAGCTTGGGACAACGATTCAGGTCTACGCAGCAGATATGGAAAGTAAGTGTTAACTCATACAATAGCCATAATAACACACATTCCCAGCAGCTGTTGCCTGCATCCCCCATCATCAAATGCCATCCCACTGCTCTCCGCCCAGCACCCCTGAACAGGTGGCCCCTCTTGTCCCTTGTTATTTGACAAAGCACACTGATTACTAGCCCCTACACTTACAGGCAGGCTTGCACACACACACACACACACACACACACACACACACACACACACACACACACACATTAGTCACTCCCCTCTCACTGCATTGCATTTCATTAAGACCAAAGAGGAATAGGAGGGAAAGGAGAGTTTGTAGTTTTTCATCTAAAATATTAAAAATGTTTGAAAGCACAATGAAAGTCTTAAGAGAAATTTTACAATGCATCATCAGATATTTTAAGGAAATTTTGAAATGTTTTACTTAATATGACTACAATAAAAGCTGCTTGATAGGATACTGTAGCTCTCTTGCAGCTACTGTGAGTATAGGGGCGTTTTTATTTGACAGCCGGCCACTAAACTTAGCTCACACACACTTATACACACACCACACTGAGCCTTCTGTACAGCTTCGTGCCTGTCCTGTCTGCTTGCAGTGGAATTTGGGTCATGAGGAATAAACAGGGCCTTTGTGTTTGTTATTTCCTCTTTGTCCCCCAGGAGGGGAAGCAGAGGAGGAGGAGTGGATGGAGGCCAGGGTGAGCGCAAGGGGCCCTTCCTAGTGCAAAGACCTCTGCCTCAGCCTGTGGCCTCCCCGCCACAGACACAGAGATCCACGGGCCTGCTCCACAGGATCCTATCCAAGTGCCGAAAAAAGAGTGACTGCCAGGGAGCCACCAACAGGGCCTTCGAGGGCGACTAAGAGGCTTGTTTATTTTGTCCAGAGTGGTTGAGCTGAGCTCACTGGGGTGGGGCCACTGACTGTAGGTGCAGGGAAGTTGGCAGGTGAGGGGAGGAGCTTCAGAAAAAATGAAGACAGGTCTTGAAAATCCTGATTTGAGTAGGTACCTCTTACCTTATCAGGTCTTCTTTACTTGGCTGCAAGTAAAGAAGCAAGAGGTTAAATCCAAACTAGTGATGTCACAGAAGGTGCTTGGGCCATTAGCCTCTGCTGTGACATCACAGATGGGGGTGTGGCCAGAAGTGTAACATGACTGAAAGCTTGAATGTATAGAGAGCTAAGCAGCTGTTGTTTTCTGCACCATTTTTCACCTTGGCAAGATCAAATGTCACACGTGCGCTTTGAAAAATACAGACCTGCAATCATGTGTAACTAAGTGTAAAGTCAGCGGCACTGAAGTAATAAGTGATGCTTCAGATTTAGCCTTTGCTACATGTTTGATGCGGTTACCTAAGCGAAATGTTATTTCATTTAATCTGCTCATATTAATCTGTCAATATGTATCTCTACGTGTGGCTGCATAATATGTGATATTATTATGGTTATAAAAGCAAACTCTCACTGGTTAACATCCTTTAATTTCCATGGAAACAAACTTAAGTTTATTAGTTTATATTTCAGCTCTTCTCATTTTTGTTTCAACACAGTGGGCCTCCCACCAAGGAACAGAAAAAAACCCTCTGTCAAGTAAAAAGAAGTGTGATTGAGGCCCGTGTAAAGCCTTGCCAGAGGACCAGGGATTGTGCTGGTTCCCCTGGTGATACCAAAGCAGCTCTCAGAAGTCACATTTAGTCTTCTTCTGTGGTGCGTCCCAGCATGTGGGCTACCTCCTTGCAGAGGACATAAACACCAAACCTAATTCTAGCCTTGGCCTTGAGGGAAATACCCTCCACCTCCTCCCCCACTGTTTGATATTCACTGTTGTATAATCCTTTGTAATAAAGGCTGTAGGAGGCAGTCACTCTGGGGCCAGTGTTTGGGAGGCATGTCTTGCATTGGGAAACGGTGTTCATGATACAAAGAGACAGCTCCACTGGCCCTGTGAGCAAACTCTGATTCATGAGAAGAATATCAAGGTGGGCCTCTCCACTGCTGTTACTGTTACGGCTTATCTCAAGCTCATGACTTTCACTTGCATGCTTAAATGTTTTTAAATGTATTAATATGAGATATTCTGTAAAATGTGCCTAACTTGGAGCTGTATGAAAAAAGAAATATCACTTGTCTGATATATTCTGGATTCTTATTTTGCCTGCGATTAGCATTCACTTATTTGAAAGTGAGTGATTCAAATACTGAGTTACTTCAAAACATAGCAAATGGGAGCCTAACTTACAGCTCTGACACGTACAAGTGGAAACAGTGACCTATATATGTGGAAAGGCCAGGGTCCAATTTTAACACACACACGTGACTGTAGACTCTCCCGCTTAAAAGTATGCTATGCCTGCTGCACTGTGCTTTCTGTCTTTGGGGAATGGAGGAGGTGGGAGGATGGGTAACAGGGTGCCTGCCAGATGACTGCTCTGTCAGCCCTATATGGGCTGCCATCTGCTGTCTAGCACACACAAAGGCAAATCGTGTATGAGCGAGTTTGTGCGCTTGCTTTTTGATTTTGGGTGTGTGCTCAAAGGATCAAGGCAAGGCTGATCAAAACCTTACATGGCAATGGCTAACTCAGTTACTAGAGTCATAGAGAGGCCAGGACATACAGTATAATACAATTAAAATGTGTATACTATTGCATAAAATGTTAATAAATCTCACTATTCACAAATGTATAATTCCATTAAGTCTACTCTGTCAATTAGTCATTAAAATAGAACTCTTTCACTTAAATACATGCATTAAGCATGAGGTGGAAGGGCTGCTGCAAATAACCAATTAGGAGGCAAAAGGTCTCTGACGTCTTTCAACTCTTAGTGAGGATGACACAAGAACAAAAGACCCTCTTATACAGAGAACAAGAGCAAAGGGACAACAGATTGATTAAGTGAACATGGTGTGCATGTGCGCATTGTTTCAGTGTACGTGCACTGCTGCTTCTTCAGCATAAGGCAAGTCATCATGTTCTTCGCCTCCCACCATTTGGGGTGTGATTGAGTGAATGGGCCTGTAAAACCAACAGCCAAGAGGACAAAGGAGCCCAGGGGCCTTAAGTCACGGGTGAGTGGGCCCCTTTAGGGCCAGCAGCTGACCCTGTGGAGAGGCCTCTTGTTCTGGTGGAGGGGGCTCGTGTCCCTAGACCCCAGGCCAAGCAGACAGCATCCCAACATATACATGCACATTTGAAGGAAGTGAGCTTAAACCCCTCTATCAGTTGTCAAACCCCGCTTCCAACAATTGACCTGCATGGCTGCTGGCTCCATCTGGAGACAAGTGACAAAACCTGATTAAAGCTGGAATATTCCCATGAAAACCGCTTACTAGGAATACATTTTTGGCAAGATCTCAGGATGCTGCTATGCCTGCTGTCAGCATGTCAGAAAAACTAAAGGATCATCAGCGATCTTTATTACTGGAAACACCATGTAACATGCACTAATTTGTACTGGGGCAAAGGGGGAAAAAGACCTGGAAAAATGCAATACAATTAGCCTTTGTAGTCATGCAACAAATGTTTATTATTCCAAATTAAGTACATGGTTACCAAGACATTTGGCAGGATTTCTACCTTGGTTATGATTTCAACTGAAAATGCTACAAAATATAGTGTTTACATCTGATTCGACTTGTAAAAGAAAGCAAAATCCAGCCTCTTGTGTATTGCTCATGCATAACTACACTAGTATATGAGAGCTGCTACTGTCCTGTCTAATGCCTATGATATTACATGGCCAAGTGATGTGTTAAAACAAACTATTAAGTTGGACTTAACAAATGGAATGTATAAACACAAGTCAAACCAACAAACTGAACACAGAACACAAATATATACAGATTAGACACATACTGTATCAGCCATCAGATTCAAATACAATGTCTTACGTGGATACTGTTACTCTACTTTCTGTTTTAGGGTACTCCACTTGATCTCACTGATTCCTTTCTTATTCTAACTGAATTGCAGGGTAGTCAAGATTATAATTAATACTGGATCCGCTAATGCCAATAACACACAAAATACCATTTACAGCTGTAGTGTTACTTGACCAGATTAAAGAAAGTTTGTTTCAGGGTGGTTAACATGATATGAATCAGCCTGTTAATATGGAAGCACATTCTTCAGAATCACACCCAAATTGCTGCTTATTTACATTATATTTTATGCATTTTGTTTTTATGCAGTGTCAAAAATGAATGAGTGCTTATGGATTTGCTTAAGGGTATTTCATCATGATACAAGGTTTTTGTTAGACACTGGCTGCTGTAGGGATCAAATTTGAATCTTGCTGCAAAATAATAATAATCACATTTATTTGGCCAAGTATGTTACACACAAGGAATTTGTTTCCGGTACAGAACCGAGGCAGCCATCTGCAGCGCCAACTCACACCAATGGCTCTAACCATCGAGGGCAACTTGGGGGTTCAGTGTCTTGCCCAAGGAGACTTCGACACATGGACTGCACACACCGAGATTTGAACTGGCAACCCTCCAGTTGGGAGATGACTGAGCTACCCACTGAACCACAGTTGCCCCCAGATAGCCGGTCTCACCTGTCTAAAAGGGTTTTATGCAAGGCTTCTATGTAGCGTATTAAAGTTTCTGCAGCTGAACAGGAGAAAACAATGTATTAAAATGAAGCAGTGCAATCTTAATGTCAGCCTTCATTATAAAAGGGGAGACATCCATAAACATACACCAACACACAAAGACAAGAGCTACATCATCTGAACAAACAAAAACATTTTAAATTAAATGAGTAAAAAGTGCAATTTGTCTATGATTAGAGGTCAGAGGTGGAGTTTTGCTACCTAATAGCAACACATTTGGATCAAAGGAAAAATGCCCCATCTGTTACAGGATCACATATACAACTACACAATGGTTATTTGCTATATGTTGCCCAATCAGGAAAAGAAATTAACACTAAGTTAGTGGCAGTGCATGTTCTTCTATCTTGAAGTCATGAAAGTGAACGGTAGCCCAATCCTGATTTTGAAAGAGGACAGTAGAATTCAATAATTTCTCTTATTTTTTTTTTAGAAATAAATAAATTAGTAGACATTAAATAAATAAAATCTACAGCCTTCACATGAAAAGTAAATCATATTTGACCAGGTGCGTGTTGTTGTAACACTAATGATATGGGAACTGGTCAGCACCAACCACAACACACTGAAACATCTGACCAGAGCAATGGTGATAATTTATATTCTATTACAGACAGAACTGCTTTAGAGCAAGTGAGTGTTTTAGGCTGTTTTGCCAGCAAAGTTAAAGTAAAAATAAAGAACTCATGGTGTCAGATTTATATTAATACCTAAGCTTTAGAGCTGTCAGATAATAAATAAAACAAACTGAAAATCAAAGTACCCTTCCATTCTTGAGGTTCTTAAACATGTAAATTGCAATGAAATACATTCAACCAATGTCTCCACAGACACTGTGGCCTTAAAAAGGAAATGCTGTGTTGCTAAAAACGAGACCATCACAAGTGCTATCCAGTTTGCCCTTAAAAACACTGCTTGTTTCCCAGCAGCAAATCCGCTTAATAGTGCAATACTGACAGCTCCCCATTTCTATCCTCACAAACTACACATCACTGTGGATAAGAATTCAGCAATGAGACACTGCTGTTACAAACACACAATTGTATTTTTGTTCCTCTAATGTAAAAGCCATTTTTAACATTGTAATCTGTACTGTATGCGTCTTCTAAAAAACCCATGGTGTGATTTAAGAAATACATGAGTGTCAATAAAGAGCTACAAATTTTGCATGTGCGTGGTTTTTATCTTCTAACAATGATGCCATTTAGCAAAACAAGCTGGAAGAGATACACACCGAGTAGTGTTGCATCATAAAATGTCTGTCTTGTCATTTAAACAATATATTAACAATATAAAACTCAGAAGCAGCTGCTGCTAGTTATAAACTCTCTATGTCTACAGCCTACTGTCAGTGTAGGTTGTTTCAACATTACTAGTATTCGGTCTTATCATATCTGTACAAAACTGCTCATGTAGCCCGGTTGTGTGTTTAAAAGAAAATAAAGCAAACATCATCATTGAAGAACAGGGCAGTGACCTAGAAATGTGCTGAAAACAATACCATCCTCCTTGTGGAGGCCCCTGGCAGTGGATTTCTGCTTCATAAAGAAAAAAAAATCATTTGTCTTCACTGGATTGTCTCTTAAAAGATTCAGTGGAGGTGTCAGTTGTCATACAGGTGTAGTAGTGTTGCCTGCACAGTGAGAGGACGGCTTTAAAGCACAAGAGCCCTTGAGGCAGAGCCAGACGACGGGTAGGGGTTCAGGTACTGACGAGCCTGTTCTGTCATGATTAGCTGGTCCTGTGTCTTCCCATAAACCACTGCTTCCCAGTCACTCACCTGCAGAGAAGGTGACCAAGCATCACGCTAATAGCTTATGTCTTACAACATTTGTAAGAACTACTCAATTTTACACTATGTTGTATCAGTAATTCCCAGCATTTTGGCTGTAATGTACCGTATTGGGAGACTAATAATAACTAGAAGAGTTATAGTGTGTTCACATTGTTGTGGAAAAAGGGCTTTTGCATGCGCCTTGCCATTGTTGTGTATGTGGTACACTGCACAGGCCCTGCACGGATGTCTGACAGGCACAGTGCAGGGCAGGGGTTACACCGAAAGTTCAGGTTACAGTACATAACGGTTTCTTAATTTCCCAAACTGCACAATAACATATGATCCTAATATCGAGAAGAGAAGAAGACAGACAACCTATTTAGCTAGCAAAATAACAGCACACTACCAGGATTGGAAAAAAAAAACTGTGTGAGCCTCTAACACTGTGATCTACTGCTGGCAACGTTAGCACTGTAGCTAAAAAACGTGCAGTTCTGTGCAGCAGTTCCTGTATATATTTTGTCCTTACTTTTCTAAACAACATATTTATACATAAGCTATAATGGCTTATGTTAATAAATATTTATTATATTAAAATATTTTAGTAGGATTCCTTACCTATGGTTTGGTTAAAGAAAGTTTCTTGTGTACCTGTACGGTGACATGTTTTGGTGCTTTGTGCGTGGCAGGGAGCTTCTTCACCCGAGGGCTAGTAAATCGATGGGGATGTGCTGCTGAGGATTCCGCTCTCCCAGAAGTCAAAGAGTGGCTACACTCCTCTTGCTCAGGGATTGGGGTAATCAGTGATGAGCTTGTCAGTAGATTCTCATCTGGCATCTAAAATATGATGGTCAAGCACTCATCAGTAATCCAAACCAGTGATTCTGACCCAGTGTCCTCCAAGAGACTTACTTGTGCGTTGCTGAGTTGCTCTTGGAAGAGTTGGATGTTAAGGGAGTCTTTATCCCAGGGGTCCAGCACAAGGGACTTGCGCACTTTTCTAGCTGGGCCATCATTCTGACATCACAAGACCACAATATAAATAATAGTCAATGCTTTTGTTCCATTGTGGGTAAACTACAATTTTATCTTAGTGCCCTGATTTATTTTAAGAAAATATTGCAACTCATTTATCTATAAATATGGTGAAATATTTATTTGTTTCTTCTGATAACAGAGAAAACATTAGTATGTTCCCCTAATGGATGAAGGTGGGCATACATTTTGTTTCCATGCCCTGTAGTCTGGCTGGATATCTGCTCTGTTGAAGATGTCTGCTCCAGTCTCCTGCTTCAGTACTTCTCGAATGTCTTCTTCTAGAAACGCCAAAGGCTGTGGCTGAAAAACACAAACAGACATAAAAATATCCATAACAACAGCCATATACCGTATACAGTAGCAAGAAACAGTAAGTGAACCCCCTGGAATCATCCAAATACAATCTACTTTAAGTAACAACAAGAATGAATTCCTTTGTTTATCATACAGGATAATGTCCACCACTTTCCCGATGCAGCAGGACAAAGACCCTAAACATGGAAGCACATCTACTACAGAATGGCTTCAAACAAAGAAAATCCAGCTTTTGGAGTGGCCCGGTAAAAGCCCAGACACAATAGAGGTGCTGTGGACAGACCCCAAGAAAGCCATTCACACCAGACATCCTAAGTATGAGCTGAACTAAAGAGAAAGAAAAATTCCTCCTGAATGTTGTGCAGGTCAGATCCACAGCTACTGGAAGTGCTTCTTTGAGGTTAAAAGAGTTTAACTCCAAGCATTCACTTATTTTTCCAACAGCTCTGTCACTGTCCAAAACAAGGATTATAACTGCTTGTGTGTTATTAGCCTGAGTACATTGTATTTGTCTGTACATGTGACTTACAGTAGATATAAATCAGATTTTATGACCACAGGGTTCACCTACTTTTTGTTGCCACTGGAGATACAGTAGGAATGTTACCTAAATAAAGAAACACTCAGGTTTATGCAGACAGTCACATGTGACCTCTTACCTCCATCTTCAAAGGCCCATGCATTTTCTCCTGAGCAGCCAAAGCGTTTTTGAAGGGAGTCGGTGTCCTCGGGCTTGGAATCACTACAGTTTTAAGAAATGTAGGGGTCCAGGAACTGGAACGTTGACAAAGAAGATTATACACAGAGTACTAACAATCGGATTAAATTAATGTGAAAGATTCTTGTGGAATGTTTAGACAAAGGATAGCAACCTTCTGGATTTTATGCTAGGTCAAATGGGATGTATACTGCTATGTCCAAAATTGTTAATTGTTATTAGATTTAGCATCATGATCCTGGACTATGGCCTGTTTTCCATCCCTGATGTCACCTGTTATTGTTTACACTGCCCCTGGTCTTTGTGCATTTCCCTGCACTTATTACCTGCTATGATCAGCTCTGACTTCATGCACCTGCACCATCTGTGCAATGAACCAGCCATCACATAAGCCAGCTCTCTGCTTTCTCCTTAGACTATCTAGTGCCTGTTTTCTCCATAGGATTCAGCCCTGCTCCCCACCTTTTGTTAGGCTGGTCATTTTTGTGTTCCTTGCTCCTCGTTTGTTTCACCTGTACTTTATTACTTTCTGCATTTTGTTATTTGTCGCTCCCTGTGTCTCGTCATTGGTTTCCTCCTGGTCAGCCTTGTTTGTATTGCCTGCATTGTTGCCTTATTTTTCCACATTACTGTATGTTCCTGAGTCTGTTGTCCCAAGATGTCTTGTTGTCCAATGAGTGTATAATCCTTACAATTTAGCACTTTGGGAAATAACATAATCTGGATGGCTGAGAAACTCCACAGACATATACAGTAAAGTTTTCATATATTTATTTACCCATCATTCTCTTTCTGGTGCTTAGGAGTGGTTTCTTTGTGGAGCGGAGTGTTGAGGAGACACCTTTGACCACACACTGGGGTTGAGGTGAGGGCAGGATTATCCAGATTCAGATTCTCTGCCCCTGATAAATTGCAGAACTGGGGAGACAGACAGACAGTAACATGACCAGTGCAACCACAGGAAATTGACTCTATGACAAAGTAGTCAGCTGAGGATTGGATTAGGGTGTACGAAAAAAGAAATAGATTTACTTGTGATGGGGTAAATGGCAGTGACTTTGTAGGTGTGTTTTTGGGAGTATTTGGGATATTTTCCACAAAGGAGAAGCAAGTGCTGTCACACAAAGGAGATGGTTCTCCCCTCTGTCTTCTCTCTCTCCTACCAGTAGCTGCCTGGGAAGGTTTTGATGAGTTGATGGAAGTCACAGTGGTGGCACTGCCCAGACCAAATGGAGCACAGTTCTCGTCCTGGCCTGAGACGGAACTCGAAGTGTTGACTGCATAAGTCAGTGAATTGTCAATCATTTTCTCTTGCAGGAGGGCAGTGTATCCTGCCTGGTTGTGCCTGGGCGGTGTGGCTGTGTCAGACAGGTCAAAACTGGCCACATCACTCCATGCAACAGGGTCCTGTAGCGCAAAACACATCTACAGTAGATCTTAAATACATGTGTGAGTATTGACCAGCAAATTCATACATCCAAGTCTCTTTTCATTACTTACTGAGTCAATCAGCTCCATGGTCTCTGCAAACTCTGGTATGGTCTGCAGGGTGGACAGCACAGTGCTGGCTTCCACTGCCAGGAACTTGCTCGGGGAGACTGAAAGCTGTGCTGGAGGGCCCTGGGGGATCTCGGGGCCCCGCCAGGGTCTTCTCTCGGTCTCCTCCTCTAGGCTGCTGATGCTTGTGGTCAATGTGCCATCAGACACGCTGTCTGACCAGGCTGAGTACTGCTCCAAACTCTGAGGGATACAAGAAAAAGAACACTAGTGTTAGATCTGAACTGATGATGTGAAATTGATAGATGCAGTTTAAAATTATCATAAATTCAGATCAGTTTTGAAACAACTGTGGAGAAGACTGGTGATATTACAATATATCAGGCCAATCCTGACCACTAAATCATACAATATAAAGTCACTTACTACGAGGAATGCAATTTTAAATTAATGCAGTGAATGAAACATGAAAAGTGTCAGAGGGACAGAATAGGAACAAGAGAGACAGATTGCCTGGGTCAAAACCAAACTGCTGGCTGGGCGTGGGTATTGGGCAGGTGAAATGAGAACTGGAGGGGATGAGGGAGCAGTCTCAATGAGTAGAGAGGTGGAGAAGGTAGTTACTATAGCAGCACTACAGCAAGTGCACCATTCTTGTTTTCACATACACTGAAAAAAGTCCACCTCACTGAGTCAGTTAAACATGAGTCTTAAAATCCATTCCTTGAAGCAAGTCCACCGAGGAGATGGGATTTGGGAATTTTCTAGAATCATGTGTCAGTATTTTTGTTAAACCAGATGAAACATTTGTAAGAGTCTGTTTGGTTTTAAATTAATGTAATTAATTTGATTTTAAGACTCGGTTAAATAGCATATTTAATATCAAAATGACCCTTTTTACAGTGCATGTAAACTACAAACACACGCAGGCTATGCTGACTAAGTATGCTAACACACATTCAGAGTGTGTTCTTACACATGGACCTCTGCACTGCACTTGTCGCGGGACTTCATTTTCTGCTGACATAAGCAGCAGCTCAAGCTCCTTAATTCTCTGTTCTCTGTCAGGATCATCCAGGCAGGATGGCTGGAATAAACAAATGTCAGGGAGGAGAGGTTGAGAGGACAGCAGGAAAGGACGAAGTTAAGAAAGCCAGACAAAAAACAGACTTGTACACAAAACATTTATGGGAGCATCTGAGATTTACCCCCTTATGTCTGTTATTAAATGTTAGATGAAAGTAACAGGACGTTCAAGTTTTTGATTTGAAGTCCAGGAGTTAGCAATCACAAGGATAACTACAGAAAGTACAGACAATAAAGATTGTAACATGGGTTTCCCACTAGCATTCAAAGAAATGGACAAAGACTCACTGGTGTGAAGCCTGAACTATCAGGAAGATTGTCCATCAAGTGTCCATTGTGAAGATCATAAGGATATCCCACCATCTAAGACATAGAGCATGAAGGTAAGAAATAAAAACACAAAACACCAAATAGTGTGAAGCTCACAAAAAGATCTGACCTGGGTGGGTCCCTGTACAGGTATAGGACTGTGATCAGAGTGCTGGGTCTCTGTCGGATTTGGGGGGCATGGCCTGTGGTGGCGTCTCTTCGCTGCAGAATGAGAGGAAGAGAAAATTTTGGGACCATCTTGCAGGTAACCCTCATGTTCCACCTTCCTCCTCATGGTGGAGTTCCAGTGGTTTTTGATGGAGTTGTCTGTCCTGTTGGGGGGATTTTTTAATCAAATTACCTCTCTCATCACTTAAAAAGGGATTTTTTTTAAATCAAATTACCTCTCTCATCACTTAAACTGGATGTAAAAATAAATGTTGTATTTGTCTAATTTTATTACCGTCCTGGAAGAAGCTTGGAGATCTCCGCCCAGCGGTTGCCAAGCCGTTTGTGGGCCTCATAAATGATTCGATCCTCTTCCTGAGTCCATGAAGACTTTTTCACCTCTGGGTTGAGGTGATTGTGCCAACGTTCACGGCACTGTTTCCCAATCCTTCCCTGGAGGTGCTTTGCAATCACCGACCAACGCTTGGGGCCATATTTGTGAACTAGGTCAATAACCTGCACAAACACCATCAGAAGAGGGGTATTTATTTGGATTTCTAAATCAGAAATATTATTGTTCATACATTGCTACACCCTCTTGAAGTGCTTTGTTCTGTTTTATTTTATGTATGAAAGGTTGGTGTAAGGCCCTGATTGGATTCATTTAAATTACAGGTGTGGTTGGAAAGCACCACTAGGGGTCAAAAGAAGTCCCCATTATGGCCATGGTACCCCATGTCAGCCAAGCAGTCTCCACTGCTGCAGAAAAAGAAGAAAAGGCCTACCTAAAGCATACTGTCATTACTGCAGCAGATAATCATTATCTAAGCCAATGCACCATCTTAATGTTTTGATAAGGTTCAACCCATAGAATGGATCAAAACAAATAGGGGTTGTTAGCAATGAAGATGATGTCAAACCACCCCTGAAAAAAGCCTGCAGCATAGTCAAAATATAAATGCTTTCAGAAACGGCATGAAGTCAATTTCACCACCAAAACCCTTTACATAACATAGCATAACATAACATAACATAACATAACATAACATAACATAACATAACATAACATAATATAACATTATTATTCATCCACCACCTATACAGTCCTATATAGGTGGTGGTCAGTAGGTTTGCATAAAGAGAAAAATCACATACTGTATTTCCTCTTTTATAATTCATAGCCAGTGCCTGCTTCAGTATTACAGCAGCAGCAGGGCCTGTTTAGCTGTTTGTGTCACAGCTGAAAAATGTTGGCAACCCCAGGCATGACTGAGAACTGTGTTTCTGTTATGATGTCAAGATTTCAGAGGAATGAGACACCATTCTTGACATTCTTGAAGAATAGTGAACCTTTTAAGGAATGCACTGCTCATCTTAGTGGTGGGGAAGGTTTTAGAACTTAACTCTGTAATGAAGGGCTGCACTCTAAACTAGTGAACTGGAAAATATGTGTTTTATTAGGGATGATGTAGTGGAGCATTTACTATGCTAAAAGAAAAAAAGAAACAGGCAAATTAAGTGCTTTTGGCGGGAAGTAAGTTTGCACATGTGTATAGCCCTGTTGGTCTGAAGATAAAAGATACATTGCATATTGTAACGTTTGAGCTTGTATTCTGTTCTTTCACTTGACTAAAATTCTCTTGACACTCCCCACAGCTTCATTCTATCTCTCCTATCATGTTTTCACCCCTCTTTTTGTCCAGAACAGGACCTACCAGCTCCTCTTACCTTTTGATCCTCCTCTTTTGTCCAGGGTCCTTTCACGAGGTCTGGGTTGAGCACCTTCTGCCAGCGATGCTGACACTGGCCATCTGTCCTCCCCTGTGATAGAGCAGCACGAACAACAACACCTCATTACACCACACCAGTGCCTTACAGTTATACCTGCTCCAGACAGCTGTAGATAAATCTGCCTCTCCAGTGACTGCACCCATGACTTACCATCACTGTAAAGAGCAGTCTATTGAGGAACAATGTTAATTATGGAATAATTAAATGGTTTGGATGATTATTAACTGCTATGATGGAAAGAGATAGAATAGCTGGACATGAAGCAATGAGATTCTACGCCTAATGTTTCCAAACAACACAGTTTTGCCTTGAAATTAGTACACAAGGCAAACACATTTCATTGTATACTTACTGGAAAAAAGTTAGCTATTAATTTCCAAGAGTCAGTTCCATGCTGCTCAACAAGCCTTTTCAGTTTTTCATCCTTGAAATATGA